GGGGGGGGCTGGCTTGTGCTGGACTGAGTGCAACTCAGCCTCCCCTGCCCAGTGCATGTGCCCCCACGTCCCGCTAGCCCCTCTCTCCTGCCGGGCTCCTGCAGGGAGGGGTGAATCTGCTGTTTTGTCTCTCTAACAGGGTGCCCGCTAGGTGGGTTTGGGGGAGGTACCATCACACGAGGCTGGCGGGGAGAGTTCTGTCGATGGCAGTTGAATCCCGGAGTGTACCACCATAAGACAGTCGTAGCAGACCAGGTGGGTGTGTGTTTGCATTGCAGGCTGTGGCATCCTGCCGCCTGGCCCCCTGGCATGCCCTTTCCTCTGCGGGGCTTGGCGCGTTATCCACGTTAGGTGGTGCAGCCTGAAGGCCCAGTTCCCCCTCTGCACCCAGGGGTAAGGAAGGGACCTATGGGCATGGCTCCACCCCACCCCCGCTACTGCCATGCAGCCACCTCTGAGGTGGAACGTGGCAGCTGCTAAACAGCTCTGTGCAATGGGGTAGAGGAGGAGGCCAAGAGAAACTCGTGGTTCTGGCAGCGTGGGCCATGGAGCGGCTCCCAGCAGCCATGCGAGCAGGGTCGCTGCTGCCCAGCCCTGGGTCGTTCACTCCTCGCACGGCCGCGCTCTGCTCCTCGCACGGCTGCTCGGGGACCGCATTTGCCAGTTATTCTGTCAGTGAGCGAGTCACAGATCAGCACAGCAGTGGGAGGGGCTGGGAGCCACAGGCCCAGCCTAAGTGGCCCGGGGTGCACGAGGGCTTCAGGGCTAGTGAGCACGGAGCCTGCCCAGGATGGAGCACTGGGGGACACTGGGGAACTGCCAGTTCCTTTCCCTCCTGTCCTAATCTGACTCCATGGGCTGGCAGAGGAGTCGCAACAGGATCTGGGTCTGGGCTGGGAGCCTCTGCCGTGGCCCCTGGGACTGCAGGGTGGGCTGAGCCGAGACACTGGGGTGAAGGCCCCGATGCCCGGGAAAGGGGCCCAGGGCTCTCTGCAGTGCACGCCTCGTCAGGAGCTCAGTGTCACGGCTTTGCAGTTGAGCTGACGCATCCTGTAAAACCCACAATGAGCCGTCTGCGCAGAGGCCTGAGGCGCTGACCCTGGCACAGGACCAAGCTTTCAGAGCCCCACCTGTACAGCAGCGGGCGTGAGGGCGGCTGCAGCAGCTCCGGGCCTCCCCAGTGCTGGCAGGACACAGCTGTGCCGGGAGCCGGCCAGGCGGGAGGCTGTCTGCAGAGGTGATTAATCTGATTTGCGTTCCGTGCCGCCCAGGCCTCAGCAGGCTGAGCAGCCACGTAGCGGCTGGATGCAGGTTCCCAGCCCTCTTGTTTTCAGTGAGCTCCTCCCTCGAGGTTCTGGTGGCTCCTCTGCCGCCTCCAGCGTGACTTTGCTCCCTCTGGTGCAGGGTTCCCCCTGAGGCCTGGTTGGCTGGTCCCTGCCCAGATCTCTTGGGCAGCCTCCCCGTGAGCGCATTCGGGGCCTTCGTTCCTGCCCGGTGGATGACCATAGTCACTGCTGCATTCGAAGTGGGTTCCAAAGCCCAGCACCCCGGCTGGGAATGCCTGGCCCCCCGCCCCTCTGAGCCAGCCCAGGGCGATGGACGGTCTGTGGGGTGGGCAGGACTCGGGCCATTTAGGGCCTATAGGTCAAATCCAGCTCTTTGAGCTGCCCCGGGCAGCCAGTGCTGGGGAGGGTTCTGCTGCCGGAGTTGAAGCGTGCCCGGCTCCCGGGGGGGGCCTGCCCAGCATTCCCATCTCTGTGCTCTCCTCCTCTCCCAGTTCACCGTCTGCTTGCGCCGGAAGGGACAGACCGTTTACCAGCAAGTCCTGTCCGTGGAGAGACCCAGCGTGCTGCAGGGCTGGAACTGGGGCTACTGCGGCCACTACGCCTTCTACCATGCCCTGTACCCTCGGGCCTGGACGGTCTACCAGCTCCCTGGGCAGGACGTGGTGCTCACCTGCCGGCAGGTCAGCCCCATCATCCCACACGACTACCAGGTGAGGCTCCCCCTTCTTCAGCCTTCATCCCTGCCTCCGTCAGAGCCTAACCCATCGTAGTCACTGTCCTCACCACGGGGGCCCGCGTCTCCCTGGCCTCCACCAGAGGGATCAGCGCAGAGCGACACGAGGGGTTGGGAATGGAGCCTGGAGTTCCCAGCTGGCAGATAAAGCAGCAGGCCTGGCGCCTGGGGGATGGTCTCAGTCACATCTGGGCACCAGGCCTGGCGCCTG